ATCAGTTTTATTGAATCTCATTCTATACACCCTGTAGTTTGAACCTAAATAAATATTGGTTTGGACTACCTATAGGTTTCAGGTATAAACGAATGAATGCACAGCTGCCTTCAAATGATGTTATTCAAAGGACAACCATATCGCCTGAAGACATAAAGGATGTTAGGAAATAATAATAATTTTTCATATTGAAATGGCACCGATTTGGACGGTGCAGTGGCGTGATATCAACTCTCTGAGGAGAATGCATACAACAAAAAAGCTACAGAACCACTCATCCATGGATTGTGTGCTATCTGACTGAGCAAAAAGACTCTTTAGAAAATGCATAAATGCATCGAGGCAGTTAAAGCTTATCTGCCGTAGTTTATAGGAGGGAGTAGACTGCCCAGCAAGGTCACTGGACATGTGGTTATCTCATCAACTCAGCTCTCAGTTAACATAAGAAAAAGAGGATCATGGGGGACCAATGGTCACGATTAGTCATTGTTTGTTATATAGAGGGCGCAAATAGCTACAAGTAGTGCAGTGGGCCTTTAAATGGAGAGAAAATAACTCATCCCCTACCAAAAGTGAGACTTCCTTGCAAGTAATTGTCTTTCTTTTCAATTTTTCAATGTTTCTTTTTCAAATTTCTCAATTTTGTTTGTCTGTTCTTCAGTTATTGTATTTTTGGTGACATTTTTTCCTTCATCAGTGCATTACTTTTCTACTAGTAATATCTACGATGGAATGAGAGATGCTGATTGGAATCAAATCTTAAAATTTTAAAACATATGTTATCAATTCAGTCTATCAAAAGAGACATTTTATTTTGTTTTTGTTGTTATTGTTGTTTTCGAAATGAAGTTTTCAAATATAGAGAAACATGGCCATATAACTCTGTGTAAATTTCTCTCTTCTGACAACTTTCACTCAGTCATCACTACATTTCTATATTTTGTAATGTTACATTTCTAACACTTCAGCTATATTTAGCATTTTCATTTCTTCACAAAAAGAAAATAAGTGAAACGGTACATTCAAACAATGAACAAATTTCCCTTATACATGTACTTTCTATTCAGGATATTACTAATAAAACACCCAATCTGGATATGACCAATTCGACGAGGGAGAGTACATGCTGAATACTTCTAGTGTAACACAACATCCTGAAATGAACATACCATAAAGCCAGAAATATTCACACCCACACACACACACACACACACACACAAGAAATGTTCTTGAAAATATTTAACATTTTGTGGGTGACAAGTATCATGCAATAAAATGAGGGAATCACTACTGATGCAACTTTTTTTTTGGTCAACTTGCCATAGAAACTGTCACAGAAGTTTCTGGTTTCACAATAACTTTCGGTGGAAGGCCTACACCAGCAAATATGTTCTCTGTAATTTTAAGCTGTACATTACAAAACGAAACAATTTCACTTTTTCCTTAGAAAGGCACAACCCTGGACCCTAAAGTTTGGGGTCCAGAGATGATGTGATTTCAAGAAAGTTCTCTACAAAACAAAAGCTTTGTGAGAATGTTCAGACCTTCATTGTATAGACCATCTTTAAAAATGATGTATTGTTCAGATTTTGGATTGCATTAACACTATGAACATGACTGACAAAGAAAGCGGACAAAATATACAGTTCCTCAGGTAGACAAAGGAACATCCCTTCACTGCTATTATGTAAAAATGTGTAGAACAGGTGTCACATGCATATTCACCTTTTTACATAATAGCAGTGAAGGGATGTTCGTTTGTCTACCTGAGGAACTGTATTTTGTCCGCTTTCTTTGTCTGTCATGTTCATAGTGTAATGACCTGTAAATGTATGTGTAGTTAGCAAATAGAAGTGACCCCAAATATCCATGAATCTTAATAAATGTCACACAGGTGCGTTCAGAAACGCTTGTTTCCCTTTTGAATATTAATTTCCCACCTGTGCATCATAAAATGCACCAATGATGCATAAATGAATAATGAATGCACAAGTTTCATGATAATCAAGTAATGTACATGTATCATGCACAGGTGATATAAAACAATAAATAACCCTCGTCTTTGTATGTGTATACAGGTGTATCTACAATCTAAACGTCTTAATTCTTAAACTGCATTTACTGTATTCAATTCAAACTTAGAAGTACTACAGAAAAGGTCATTTATTTTTTAAACAGTTATCACATGTAGTTGCCATTTTCACCCCTCAATTGAGTAATGTTCCAAATAACCACTGTCCTGCATTATTATAAACAAAAAACATGAACAAAACAAAGCACCGCAAAATATTCTACTGACATTTCAAATTGAGGGTACCTCTTACAACTTTCCATAAACTAATAGGGTAAATTTGATAAAGTGCACCGATCGGTATTCTAACAGTGATTACAAGCCTTCAACTGGTACAGAAAGTGATTTTTGTTTTGTTTTGAAGAATCACCTTGCCAGCACTACAAAACTTAGTAGTGAAATGAGTTTCATGATAATATTATTTATGTATAGTATGCCTGCAAGTGCATGCAATTATCTAGAGGAATCGAAAGACAGGAAGTGCCTTATAAAAGCTATGAATGCATGACATGTGTATTGGTTTACATGACAGATTGGAATGCCCTACCCATTTACAGTATAATATATTGAAGTCTTGAATAAAGCTGCACATTTTATTCCCTTACAATTGTTGGTTTAGGAGAATTGTAACTATTCATAACCTTTACAAATCAACAGACAAATAATAGATTGATTGATCATCAACTTCAATTCAAATTTTTTAATTTTTGTCATTTTCACTTGACACACTATTTCCTTTTACAGTTTACACAATAATTAAAAATGGATTTGATATTTCATTCTATGAAAGTCAGTTTAAGAGTGGTGTTATTGGCGACTAAAGGAACTATTAAGGAGAAATGTATAGAATAGTCTTGGCTTATTTATATGCCAGATAAAATGTGAATGTCTACAAGTGTCTAATAAAGAGTTCAAACTTTTAACAATTTCATTTTTCATTAATGAATTTTTGTACATTTTGTAGAGTGTTGTGTTGACTTTCTTCTCAATTTTCTGCATATTTTTAGTCAGGTAATTCAATGTTTACACAGACATTCCATGATCAGTACAGTATCTACTTTCGAGCAAAGATATATTCAAATCATTCCTGATATCCTATATACATTTACATCTACCTAAAAAAGAACTGTTCTTTTATGGGGGGGGGGGGGCTCATCAAATGTCGGGGAAAATAAATAACTGTAGAATGATATTTTATACTTTTAAGATGGACTCTAGATGAATATATATATTTTCATTTATTTCAACATCTACAAGTATCTTGCCATTAAATTTGCCCTACACCAATGGAGTCAAAATATGACATATTTGCTAAGTGTTAAAATGGTCAAAGTTTTCCTATTTTCTAGGATTCTAGACAAAAAAAAGAGAGAGTAGAGAAGGAGAAAACAATTATAAAAATATATATGAATAAATAAAAATTTGCAATACATGTGGAGAAGGCAAGTTTTGTTACATGACAAATAAAGTCAATCATATTATGTAACTGACTGAAGAAATGAGTCCAACTGATGTAAAAATACATGTAACATAATTAGTGGGTATTTATTTTTAAGAATAAAATTACTAAACTTTAAAACCAATCAATAACTTATTTGTATGCCAATATTTTCAGACAATTACAAACAAGTTATAGACACACTGAAATTCACCAGCAAAGCAATCAAGAAAGTAATTACAATTCATTAGCCTCTTTAGAAGTAAAAGAGGACTAGTATAATTCCTCATGCATACTGTATACCAGGCAAAATTACTAATGGGCCTGCATTGGTCTTATGGCATTCGATCACCTCAAATACCTACACACTGTAACCCAATGATCATCATCCTCTACACAACTCACATAAACCATATGACCCCAAAATTATGGCACCCCTGCAAACTCCTAAACCCCGAGCCTCATGGCGTCATTGCCTGATGATGACACACACACATAAACCGCATACGCACAACACACACAGAAACACACACACACGAGTAAGGTTCTACAAGTTTCGCAGACGACACCACACCACGCAAAGTTTTCTCAAAAGTTCCTACATGTTATCTCATTGAGCTTAGACACACTCGCTCGATAATGCGTAGAGCAGGCATCTAAAAGTCACACACAGCATCCGAAGCAAGTGCATACACAATGTGCTAATACACACAACACACACACATTGCAACTAACTGCAAGTGTCCCGAGGCCAAAGAGTAGGCCGCCTAAGATCCGATTCCGTATCAATTTAACCCACTCTGCCTCGCTAAAAATCGCGAGCGACAATCTAATAATTGACGAAAGACATATGCTGTCTCTGAAACAGAATACTTGTTTCACAGCTCACAAACCAGTTTCATTTTAATGGCAAACATATATAATTCAGCTAACAAAAACAGTAAGATTCTGAAAGATCAAACAACCAAAAGTTGGATCCGCCAATTATTAACCCAAGGTCACGGTTCAAAAAACACAATCAGCAATTACCACCATGCATCGCCTCCATCATCACCATCACATAAAATACAATTCTCTGGACATATATTGCAAATGGCATACAAGCAAATTATCAGTAAATGTATACGTACAAAAGCAAAGTCCTCTATAATCTCAGCGGAAATGCGAGAAGTGGCCGATAATAGCAGAGTCAGTTACAGGACAAGCCCGGCCGTCACGCCATGCAGCAAACTAAATCGACGTTTAAATGCCTATTCAGCACACTGCAACCCTGCACATATACTGCGAGTACAATGAATAGGGAGCCGCCGCGCCGCACTAAGCTTACACAGAACCGCGTTTATGATCGCACGATGGAGAAAAAAAAGACCCTCCTCTCTAAAATCGCCGAAGTGCGTCGCATAGAGAGAATCAGAGTTATCTCTTTACACTGAACATAAAAATCCATCTAATGCTCTTTTGAAATAAACATTCTGAACAGACGTTACATACCTGACTTGAAAATGGTCAAAATGAATTCGTGTGAGTAAAAAGAGAAGTTATGCAGAGTTGGGAGCTATGCTCAATGGCGGATCAGCAGCGGCCCCAAGCACGAACGAGACAGGAAATGCGTGCAGTGTAAAGCAATTTACGCTCTCACCACTGTCTCTCCCGTGCATGCAGAGCAGGCTAGCTCGCCAATGAAAAAAGTTTGGGAACTGAGTGCCAGTACTGTGGGTAGAAAGTATTAGATTGGATTTTCGGTGGGGTTCGTATGGCGGCCAGGCACATCTGGAAACTCGTGCTCTGCCGCCGGGGAGTCAAAACTTAAAGGTCCTCATCCGCCCACGTAGGGGTTCATAATTATTGATATCGCATATAATGACATTAATGTTATTATAGTTTTATGATCATTTTAAATCAACTATGTTTATTTGTTATCATCAGTGACTCTCATTTGAGGCATTTCAAACTGTGGGAGTATTCACTGTCCATACTGAAACGTAATTTGTTTCTTTATTCAATCAATTTTGTTTGTGTCTATTTGTTTGTAGATTTCAATACTGCAAAATGGAAAGGCCCGTAAAATCTAAATGAAATACTTCAGACATAACACCATAAAGGAACAGTTTGTATCAAAGTTGTCTATATGCAAACACATTTCCTATCTTGGGATATATTGTAGGATGTAATGATTTACTCTTTCCCTGAAACATTGTCGTATTTTCTTACGTATCAACAACAAAGTGTACTGATAATCTGATACATTCTACTGACCATTCTGTCATTTTGATGTTTCGTAGACCCTCTAAACTTCATATATTTTGTAACACCAGCCCCCCACTTTAAATCATCTCATTTTATTGCTCGCAAAACTACTGTGGAACCAAAGTTATTACGATAGTACGTACGTTTACATGAAACTGAAATTTAAAAAAATGTCGTTTTCTTACTGACGACATACTTATAAACTTGTATCCCAATCGTTTTATCCGTGAAAAATGACCAAAACATTTCCTTTGTGTGCAGTTTTGTAGAAATATGGGTTGGATGAAATCTTCTCACAGTGAGAATAGGGTATAATGTTTAATGACCGTGAGGCGCAGTGGTAATGAATATGGAGATAACTTTTCCGCATTCTTGGTCATGACAGCTCTCATCGTTTTTGCTAAATGTATTTATAAAAATTGTCATTTAATGGATGACGTACAGTCCCTATAATTATGTAAATGTATGTGGATGTGTTATTTGTGTGTGTGCGTGTGTGTTTGTGTGTATATGTATATATAATGTATGCATGTGTGTATAGGCCTAGATGTAGGCCTAATATGAAAATGACAAAATGAATGCGAAGTATAGCAGTTTTTATTGTCTTTCAATTAATGACCGATTTTCGATGGGCAATAACACGTTAGAAGACAAAAAGAGGAAAAAGGAAATCTATAATTAGGAAATGTCTCTGTTTAATTGTTATATCGCTGATTGAGAGTAAGTATAAAGGTATCTATCGCCATAAATTGTAATGGAAGAATCGTGAAAAAGAAAAGAATTACAAAATGGGGAATGGTGGGCTCCCTCATTATATTGCAATGATGAATATTGTTTATTGTCATAATTTCTATAAATCTGTATACTTTTCTAAGTATTAATCTAATGTCCCGTTCTCATCGGATGGGCATGCAGAACAAACGAAATTTAATATGACGTGTACCAAAATGTATTTGAAATCTATGCGATAGTGGAAAATAGGAAACACTGAAACATTCAGAAATAGTTTTAATACTACAGAATATGTCAAATATTTTGAGTAGCATTATCTCAGGTTTTTATTTGTATTAAAATCATTGCCTATAAATTTGCAATTATCACTACCATCATCATCATCATCGGTCGTATAGTTTTGAAACATCAAACATATAAAAACATATCAAGAACACTAACTATGATGCCATTTTCAAATAATTATTGAAACTTCAAAATATTCTTCTTCATAAACTATGCTCAAATAGTGAGTATAATAGGAGGAGAGGAAAAGCATAAGGAGAGAAGAGACCGAGAGAGAGAAAGAGAGGGAGAGAGAGAGAGAGAGAGAGAAAGAGAGAGAGAGAGAGAGAGAGAGAGAGAAGGCTGCTAGAGAGAAGGCTGCTAGAGAGAGAGAGAGAGAGAGAGAAGAGAGGGGATGATATTATGCAGATAGATGATACACATAAGGGGGAGAGGGCAGATCATCTAGATGGTTGTTTTGGATAGGATTTACAAAATCAGTAGATTCAGGATGGGTAGGGGTCTAACAAATATCTCACAATTGCGTAAGGGAACAGGATACCATTTTCCAAGACATTCAACAGGTTACTTATTTTGGTAGACACAAGTTTATATGAAACTATGGTTTATTCTTCTATATGCCTTTTTTTATTGCCTTCTTGGTTTTCTTTCAGATATTATGACAACTTATATAATATCATAGAGATGCTTTCTCTACAACTCCACTAAAACAAGTCTTGTTTATGATCGTTTTGGTATTTTATGAATGATTATACATTGCATTCAGTATAGGTCTGAGGTTATTTGAGGGAGAAAAAAAAACTTGCTTGCATCACAGGCTTGTGTAGTCAGACTTGATTTCATTTCCTCGCGTGCGTAGCTGGAATTATTCCCACTTGTTGGCGAACCCCGAAAAAAATGGCGACCTTCCTCATTTGACCCTGGCCTGACCGAGCTCGTTATATCAACGAAACAGACGTGCTTTTTTAGCGCTCTGCACTGCTTCCGCATTCGTGGTAAGTAAACCACTCTGTATATACTCCACACTGAACTATAGGAATTTTGATGTGTGCTGAAAATGGGAGCATAAGAAAACGCGGGAGGAGGAGGAGGGAGAGGGGGAGGAGTGGGTTGGTGGTGCAGGAAATATCTGTACCCCCTCACAGAGGAGCGGCAAACATGTATCTGAACCTGACTGAAACGTAAACTGAATTTATTGGAAGTTGGAGTAATTATTTAGTTGATTCTTAAACTATGCTCCAAATTGTGATGCTGCCGTGATTTATATTTCAACATGATCCAAGTTCCCCAATTTACTAAGTAGCAACTGCCGACTTACCTTTTCTTCTTTTTCCCCTTTCTCGCCTGTAGCCAGCTTTTCTAATTTTATTTTTTTCCCCTTCTTTTCTTCTTTTCTAAAACATCTAAAACAGAGGGGAGAGAAAGTGGAGGGTCTCCTCGTCTTTCTATGTCACTAAAATGCATGATATGAACTTGTTCCTTATAATAATTGTTCCTTTTATGTACTCTGTCACATGTTATAAATGTGTTTAATTGTATTACATTCATGTAGGTAGAAAGACAAACTTGAAACTTGAAACTTAAACTTGAATAGACGAACACTGCAGGGCAATATGTTTATGATAATATATAGCGACTACGTTAATCACGGCGGTGGAATGAGGACGGTGAAAGCGCGTGCTTTCATATAACTTTCACCGAAGTTTTGAAAGCACACATAGCTCGCTGCACGTCTATTGCGATTGAATTCGCATGGCGGGTTATATGGCGGAGTAGTCTAGTTCCGAGAAGGGTGCATGCTGTGCCATGCGGTTTCGGCATGATGGCAAGTTTCGAGAAAACAAGGAGAAGATCAGCTTGATGGCGCGTTTTCCCTTCAAGCATTATCCGCACCGCAGTCAAAATGTCACGCACATAGGATTTTATTATAATCACATCATAAAACAAAAAGTAGACTATTATTTTACTGATATCTGTACACAAGCTTATTATGATTCAGAGTTAGGTTAGTGATAAGTTGGCCTGTGCAGAACTTTCTGAGAGAAAGATGCGGGAATTCAAGTCATTTATCTGCATAAACCGACACGTACCAAGATTATTTCACGTCTTTCTTTAAATTATAATTGGCAAACTAATGGTAGAGTGGGAAGTCGAGTATAGTCCAGACATACAATTTCGGCACTGAATGAGCAAACAATTATAATCTGTGACCTGTGTGTGATGTGTGAAGTCAAGGGGAATCCGCCATTTCCCTTTTCATTTCCCCCCTTCTTTCCTACTCCATACATAATTTGAAATAGTTTGAGCAAAAGATGAGATATTGAACAAACATTACTATTCCCATTATCGAATCCAAATAAGTAAAGGAAGACATAAGTGCGTACATACCGACATCATACCGTTTTTTAAAACTATTAATTTCGGTCTTTAAATTTATGACTTTCTGTTTTTTAACTATTTTAATGATTTTCTCTCTTTGTTTGATCTTTAACAAATATGATTTGTATTCTCCTATCACTTCACTAGGCAATTATTTCGTCGATATCTCTATCTAAGGTTGTTGCATTGTTACATTTTATACATAATATGCGATGCTATAGCAGACCATTTATATAGTATACCGTCTAGTATTATAATTATAGTATACACAAACACCGAAGTACATAAACCATGCGCAAAATATAATTTTTCTGACTTCTATGCTTACTGGTATAACGTAAATGTCAACACACACACACACACACATCAAAGGGGATATTGACTTAGTCATTAATGACGACATGACTAAATTACAGCGGACATTTTTATCTCTTAACAAAAATCAGATTAGAACGTGATATAATACAAAGTATTATCTGACTCATGCAAGCGTGGAAAGTTTCAGGGTATCCATTCGCCTCCATATGACTGTGTGTATAAGAGCATGCATTATTGTATGCCTCATTAAGAAGACATTGATAGAAAATAACGTTATGCTTTATACTTTATAAATCTCTGCCTTGTATATAACAGGTATCATGCACTCTTTAAATAAACTTTGTGATTTTATAATTTCTTTTAATCATGTACATGCCATTTTGTCCTCTTTTAAATGTTGTAGGCTTGCAAACATACTCATATGAAATGTTTAAAAAATGATTTTATTCGTAAACTTTGTATTGTTTTGGCTGTCCTAACTAAAATAGTGACTTTACGATCATAAATTGAATAATGAAACCGTTTTCTTTTTAAAATTTCTTCGTAACAAACAATTTCGGAATAATATGTATTTATTTTCAAAAGAGTAAACAAACAACTGATTTTGATACAAAATATAGCAATATTGAAAATAATATCGCTAGTGATATTCGTTTGTCTCGCAATGTATGGACAACAGGGGATCTAAAAGATCACGAC